CACATTGATTTAGTACCAGATGATTGTTCAACGATACTACGATACATGATCGAAACATTATTCATTATTCATGGTGAAACTAAATTGAATATGATTTGTCCACTTGGTGGTAATGCTGAAAAACGTTACGGCCTTCCGTATAACCTACATTGGTGTGCTAATTTGAATAATTCATCAATGTAAACCACGACATCAACTCAGTGACCTTTTAAAACTACAATGGTCACTATTATAAAATAACATTTAATCAATATAAGCAACTTTGTTTACCTCGTAGATATTAGTTAATCTTTAGTGTTTGTAATCTGTGTGCAAAATAGTTAACCTTAGATTAATGAAATATATTTGTGCATTTCTCCCAATATCATACTCAAATATAGTTTCATTCTAGATAAGTATAATCCTCCACGCACACTTACTCGTTTACTGCTCAACTAAACAAAACCAAGACATCTTGGTCATAAATCAAGCCATATCACTACCAAATACATGACAAATCAACCTAGGTTCGCTCAACATCTGTATAGATTATCAGACAACGGCTTGACTGAAACTAAAAATCAATCGATACACCAAAAACCTATCTCCACTAGCTCTGCATTAGGTATCAGAACTGCGACAATACCATAACAGAAACATTATGCAGAATAAACAAACATTATCATCAAAACACAAATAAAAAACGACAACACTTCCGGATAAAATTACCAATCCATTCCCAAACCAAACCACATATTTCAACCACGTACCAGATTATCCATAAAAAAACACTAAAATTACAAGCACTAACAAACCATTTGACATACTGCTGCTTCATAAAATTGCTCGCCATTTCCATTAATCCATCCAACTCGCACTAAACTACCTTCATTCCATCTACACTATCGAAACAACAAACGCCAAACCGGATGCTACACATACCAACAAACAAAAACCTTCCGACAGAAGATTCTACGCTACTTTTCCATAGATTTATAAACATCTATTCCTTCCCAAAACAAATTCCTCTGCGCCACAAAAAACACTATCAACTATGCCATAACAACGCTCAAAAATCTACGCCGAATACCATTCTTTCCGATTCGACTGCGTTTACCCTCCAAATAGTAGCAGCATATCCCACAACATCCTTTATTTACACAATTGCTGAAGATGACCCTTAAGCAAGGTCGGAGCCGATCGCAAGTAGCTTGTGCTATTAAATAAATTTTATACACACCCACACCCCTATTATATGTAAGTATAAACTATCTGACAAGTAGGACATTGGTCTTTTTAATAAACATTATAGACTTTTCTTATTTCATGCTTTTTTGTTAATTTCAAACCTATTAAAATAGA